TGGAATGTGGTTAATAAAAATCAACAGAGGTAGTCTTAAAACCATGCTCCTGTCTGTCCCTCTTCATCCTCTAACCACAGAGTGTCTCTCAGTGGTTTCAGCCTGTGGATAGCGATCCTAAGTTTCATTAAAGCAGCTTCCTCTACTCTCTGCCCTGGGCCTCTCACCTAACCACTGTCTCGCCCTCTCACCATAGAAAGATCAAACAGCTGCTGCCTTGCCAAACAACCATCCCTGCCCCTTATTCCACACCCAAACTATTTTTAGTTCACACAGACTTCCACAGTAAGAAAGCGTTTAAAAACATTTTTAAGCTGCCAACTAGAAACCCTGGGTTAAGATCTTAAAAAGAACCAGGCTATACATTATTAAGATTTCAATGTTTCTTTCCCTATTATTCACCAAACAAGCAGATTTCCCAAAATTCCACCAGGCCATGAAAATCATCCACTGGGTAAAATTTTCAGTGTTATTTGCAAACATGATGCAAAGCTACAAGCCTCTTGGAGCGTTGCTGAAGAATCTTAATTTACTTGTAGATAAAGGTCAATAATAACTATTTTCCTGTGGACTATAACTATAAATGATTAGAAATCTTACCAAAGTTAGTTTTTTTCTTGTTTCTTCCAGGACTACAGCTGAAACTAAGACTATGTGGACTTAAAATATACTTCCATATCTGTCCCGTATGAGGTTCCACTAAAGACCAAGCTCAGCTTTGTCACAGACAGCAGGACTTTTTCTACAAATATTTCCTAAAATTTGAATTAATCCATGTTGCTATTTACACAATGCAGATTTCTACTTGTACAGAGAGAAAAGCAATAAATAAAACTGAGCTTCTGCTGCTTTTTTCTATTGGCATGGTATTCTTAACTCTTCCTCCTGCAGACACAGCTTTACATCACAATGGTTATAATGAACCCATCAGAGTGTTAGCTATAGGAGTAGAACAGATCAATATGTGGACATGCCATACAAAAACAAAACTGAGGTAATAATCTTTGCACCAAAGGAGGAGAGATCCAGAGTTAGCTTACAGCTACAGCAACTACAGCTAAAACCCAATCTTCCCACAGTCCAAAAAGATGACTATAAGTGAATGAGTGCGTGAGAATGATTGTTTGTCCTATTTTTCTCTGTGTTACCCTGCGATGGACTGGCAATCTGTCCAGGGTGTACCTCGCATCTCAAGGTACAACATTTTTAATGATTTCTCCCGTGTATTTTAAAACAGCCAGTTAAACAGACTTTATTTTCCTTTTGCTTTTAACTATTAACAGGAGTTGTTTTTGTCATCATAGATATAAAGAAAAATAGCCTTCATTAACGGCCAGATTGTTCAGGTACAAGTAAATGAGTGTTGAACATGTTACTTCGAAAAAACAAAACAAAAAGATATGCACACAGATTGAAGATATGTGCACACAAATCACACAGTCAAGAGTCTTCATGCATCAGAAGCACAAATTACCACACAGGCAAGGAAATACTTGATTTATATTTAACAACACAAAGTTACATTCACAGAATATTATAGAAGGTTGACAGCAGCATTCATGGTGTGAGGCTATAACAGCATCCTCGGAAGGGGTGATTTACTATTCAGAGATGTACTCTGAAATGTAGTATATTATTCTTAGGTTTGCTATTTATTATCATCTATGACCTGGATAGTCTCAATCTTTATGTTCGTGTTGCCTTAGAAATGGCCATTTATAATTACATGGGAGCAGGTCTTGCATGTATGGAAGCAGACATCTGCTCTACAGCATCACAGAGCTGATAAATTACTGACTGTAGAGATTGCCATTAGGGTCAAATGTGACTACACCAAGTTAGGTGTCTATAAAATCTATTACCTATACAGACTAATAAAGTACTATTACCCAAATTGTGTCTCACACCTACAGCTAAACTCGCACATGATCTGGATCATTCCCAAATTTAAAGAAATTGTTCCTTGGCATGAAGCACACATCTGTTAAAAAAAAAAAAAAATCATAAAATCCATTCATATTTTTTCAATTGATCCAATACAGCAACATTCCCTTTTCTTGTGTTTTTGTCTTCAGTAAATCACCTCCGGACTTTTTGAGTCTGATGTTGAGGCTGTCAATAGTGACAGCTGCCACCCTCTGGTATAGTAGGGAACTGCGTGTGCTGGCAAATATCCCTATCTCCCAATGTTAGAGAATCTTTTAAAAAGATCCTGCATCCAAATTAAGATCATCCTTGGTATATGGGACTCCTTTGATAAAAATTTTATTAAAATCCCTCCATAACTTTTCAAGTGATCCTTAGACAGACAGACACACAAACTCTCCTTGGTATGGTAGAGATAATTATCTATGTAAGCAAACTTCCTCGTCACAGACAAGACAGTTGATTCGGATGTTGCAGGAGCCATTTTCTACCTTGAAGGCAGCCATATTGTTGGAGGGGGAGAGGCGTTGAGTTCGGTTCATGTTGCTGCAGTCAGCAGTCTGACCAGTTTATGTTGCCTAAAATAACACACTATAGCTTTAGATATAATCTGAAGTGTGATGTGCATTTGAATTCACCCCCCTTAACTGTAATACCCATAAATACATTTCAGCTTAAATGCCTCCTTCAGAAGTCAAGTAAATAGAGTCCAACTTTCTTTTTTTATACTCTTGAGTAGTAAAGTTTAGTATGTAGCCAAAAAAAAATGTGATAAATCCTAACAAATTCCCACCAGGTGACCCTGCTGCTATTTGTTGGTTGGTGTAATTTTTTGATTTGCATGATAGCTTTACAGATGAGAGATATTGACATCAGGTTTTCAGAGGCCTTGATATTCCCTGTGGAAGAACCACACACAACCTTCACAACTGTCACTGGGTGCCATTAAACTGCTCTGGGGTGGTATCCATTCTTCAGAAAGCCTTTGTCACAAATCAGCCAATGGGGTTATTTTCAGCCAGTTAAACATTTCCAAGATCTCACAAGTGTGAGGTGGAGTTGAGTTAAAAAAATAAAAAACCTGGGAACTTATTTCATCCTCTCCATTCTCTGGTTCCAGTCACTGATATTAGAGATGATAGAGTTTAATCTCTTATCATGGACAAATGGCATCTCACCGGATTTGTAATTTAATCTTAATATTTTTTTGTATTTAGATTGCCTTTAATGATAGAAAACTTGTTTTCCAGTTGAAAAGATGCTGTCCCACAAGCTTTTTGATTTTTGCAAAGAGAATTTGGGATTTTCTTTACATGGATGCAACCCCTAACTCTGTTGCTCTTCATTGAGGAAATAAGTATTTGAACAGCCTTCTATTTTGCACGTTCTCCCACTTAGAAATCACAAAGAGGTCTGAAATTGTCATTGTAGGTGCATGTCTGCTGTAAGAGATATAATCTAAAAAAAAAATCGAGGAATCAGAATATATTATTATTTTAACTATATATTTGTATGATAAAGCTGCATATAAGTATTTTAACACCTGTCTATCAGCTATAATTCTGACCCTCATTGACCTGTGTGTCTGCCTTTAAAATGTCTACCTTTACTCCATTTATTATCCTAAATTAGATGCACCTGTTTGAAGTTAGCTGCATAACAACACCTGTCCACCCCATACACTCAGTAAGAATCCAACTACTAACATGCCCCAGACCAAAGTGCCCGTCCAAAGACACTAGAAACCAAATTGTAAGCCTCCACAAGGTTGAAAGGGCTACGGGGAAATTGCATAGCAGCTGGGTGAAAAATGATCTGTTGGAGCAATCATTAGAAAATAGAAGAAGCTAAACTAGACTGTCAGTCTCCCTCAGACTGGGGCTCCATGCAAGATCTCACCTCATGGGGTCTCAATGATCCTAAGAAAGGTGAGAAATCCACCCAGAACTACATGGGAGAGCTGGTCAACGACCTAAGAAGAGCTTGGACCACCGTTTTCAAGGTTATTGTTGGTAATACACTAATACTTCATGGTTTGAAATCATGCATGACATCAAAGGTTCCCCTGCTTAGACCAGCACATGTCAATGCCCGTCTTAGGTTTGCCAATGACCATTTGGATGGTCCAGAGGAGTCGTGGTCAGATGAGACCAAAATAGAAAGTTTTGGTCATAATTCCACTAACCGTGTTTCGAGGAAGAAGAATGATGAGTATCATCCCAAGAACACCTTCCCTACTGTGAAGCATGGGGGTGGTAGCATCATGCTTTAGAGGTGTTTTTCTGCACATGGGACAGGGTGACTACTCTATATTAAGGAAAAGATGATCGGGGCCATGTATTGCAACCTTTGGGGAACAACCTACTTCCCTCACTTAGAACACTGAAGATGGGTGGAGGTTGGGTCTTCCAACATGGCAATGACCCGAAGCACACAGCCAGGATAACCAAGGAGTGGCTCTGTAAGAAGCATATCAAGGTTCTGTTGTGGCCTAGGCAGTCTCCAGACCTTAACCCAATAGAGAATCTGCGGAGGGAGCTCAAACTCTGTGTTTCTCAGCAAACGCCAAGAAACCTGACTGATCTAGAGAAGATCTGTGTGGAGGAGTGTGCCAAAATCCCTCCTGCAGTGTGTTCAAACCTGGTGAAAATCTACAGAAAAAGGTTTGACCTCTGTAATTGCAAACAAAGGCTACTGTACCAAATATTAACATTGATTTTCTGAGGTGTTCAAATACTTATTTGATTTCTGGATTTATTTAGAGAATGTTTCTCACTGTGGAATCTACAATGATAATTTCGGACCCCTCCATGATTTCTAAGAACTTGCAAAATAGCAGTGTTCAAATACTTATTTTCCTCACTGCATGTACAAATGATTTTTTTTTTGTCACAAATGTGGAGCATTATACGAGAAGGTTAATAGACTTTTGAAAACCTTTTATCCAAAAACCTGTTAAATGTGTCTATCCCGTTTGGTTCAGTGGGAACTATCATTGTTTAGTATTTTCACAGATTCTGTATATTCATTTTTGCATGAAGACAATAGCATAAAGATAAGTCTGAGGCAAAAAATTCATTAAGACGTTATTTATTTTGGTCTTTATGTTTTACATGACACAATGCATGTCAAGGGTTATAACAATGTTGCTGTTAAGACAGTTTGGTTTAGAAAAAAAACAGTCAATTTCATCATTATTTTTCACAATATATTCAAGTCACATTTAGTCACATGTTGCACAGAAAAGAATTAATGTATTTTTATTAGACTGTTGTTCCCTTCAACCCTAAAAAAAAACAAAAAAAAAAAACAAGATTTTACAAAAACAAAGAAGACAGACACTAAGTTTAAAGAGACCAGTTTAAGTCAGAATTAAAGGAACAGTGTTAGAGAAAAGTTTCGGACACAACAGTTATAACACCTCGATTTCACATGCTGTTTACATTACAAAACATCACTGGAACATTGTGTATTGCTTTCTCCCTCCTTAAATCAGCTATTTTTATAAATTAGTTTTCCTTCTTTTAAGCACCCATTTCTTGTAGTTTTCAAGTTAAGATGCTACTATTCCTCAAGAAGGCTGTACTGCCTGTCTGTTGGGTTGCGTAAAATGAACAGGGAGTTTTACTTTGAGAAATAGATTGCAAAATTAGTTGGTTTGCTTTTGGAAACTTCTGCATCAACGTATCACGTTGAAGCAATAAGGAATCCAGAGAAAGAGCAGTGGACATTCTCTGCAGCAAATACACCATTGGCATCCTCATCAGGGATCTGGACGTAGACTGTGTCATGCTCATCAAGTAAGAGGACAGCGCTACCAGACATTTGGTCCAGGAAACCCTTGTTATACTCATCATAACTAAACATAATTGGCTGACCATTCTTGTACAAAGCCACCAGGGCATGAGCTCCATTAACATGGATGCTGTAGGAGAAGTAGTAAACTCCAGGAACCTGGCAGGTGAAGATTCCTGACTCAGGGTCATAGTGATTCTCAGCATTGTAAACAATCTGGTCAAATCTAATGGGGGTGCCAGCAGCAGGGTATGGGGTGGCAAGAACAGCAGTAAATGCTGACATGGGGGACTTGACCATAACCTCACTAAATCCCATGCCTTTCTCAAAAACAACCTCACCAGGAGGTCCGGGGGGACCAGGGGGGCCAGCTGGGCCAGGTTCTCCATCAGCTCCAGGCTCACCAGGTTGACCAGGGGGACCCTGAGGTCCAGAAATGCCCTTTGCAGAGAGACCAGCGGGGCCAGGAGGTCCAGGGAGACCTGGATGTCCCTTGAGGCCAGGGACACCAGCAGGCCCCTGTGGTCCAGCAGGCCCTCTGGCACCTGGAGCTCCATCAGACCCAGAAGCACCTGGTTCACCAGGGCGACCAGTGTGTCCTTTGGGTCCAGCAGGCCCTGGAATACCTGGAGCACCTGGGGTACCTGGGGCACCAACATTACCTTTCTCACCTGCAGGTCCAGTGGCACCTCTGGGTCCAGGAGGACCAGCTGCCCCTGGGTAACCCTGCTTACCTTGGAAACCTTGTGCTCCCTGATCTCCCTTGTGTCCCTTAGGTCCCTGAGCACCAGTTGCACCTGTGTCACCTTTAGGACCAACAGGGCCAGTTGCTCCTGGGAAACCTCTTTCACCCCTAGGTCCAACAGCACCTGTTGGGCCAGTTGCACCAGTGGCACCAGTATAACCTGTTGGGCCTTGCTCTCCCTTTGCTCCTGGGGAACCTGGGCTACCTGGGGCACCTCTCTCTCCCTTCTCACCATTTGCACCTGGCTTTCCATAACCTGGAACTCCAGGGGCACCAGGAGCTCCAGAAGGTCCCTGATGACCCTTAGGTCCAGCAGGACCAGGCAAACCTGGGGCACCATTCTCACCTGGTTTACCTGGAAGACCTACACCTGGAGCACCAGTGTGTCCCTTAGGTCCCTGTGGTCCCATGGGACCAGGGGCACCATCTCTACCTGGGCTACCTGACTTTCCAGGCTCACCATTAGCACCTGGTTTCCCTGGCCTTCCAATTCCAGGTGAACCTGGGGCTCCAGTTGGACCCATAGGTCCCTGAGGTCCTGTCTCGCCTTGTGGTCCAGGAGCACCATACCCCCTTTCACCCTTAGGCCCAGGAAGTCCTGGGATACCTGGATGTCCTTTCAGGCCAGGCTCTCCTCTTGGTCCCATTGCTCCAGGAAGGCCGGAAGGTCCTGGTTTGCCAGTTGCAGACAGACCAGCAGGTCCTGGGCTTCCAGGAGAGCCTGGAACTCCTCTTGGTCCCTGGGGGCCTGTGGCTCCGGTTTCTCCCCTCTCACCAGGTGTTCCAGGGATGCCAGGTTTGCCAGGTCCACCTGGAGTTCCAGGTTTGCCAGCAATAGAGCGGCCAGGATGTCCAGGAGGTCCAGGGGGTCCTTGAGGTCCAGTATGACCAACTCCATCCTGACCTGGGGGACCAGGTGGGCCTTGAGGTCCCTCAGGGCCAGGCTCACCTGGAGGACCAGGCTCACCTGCCATTGATACCACTGTGAAAAAGGAAACAACATCAGCACCAGAAACAAACAAACAAACAAACAAAAAATTACAGTGCATCTTGTTTTTTTGGTAGGGGGTTGATCCAACACTCTGCATTTTCAAGCTATAGCAAAAAAAAAAAAAAAAAAAAAAAAAAAAAAAAATACAACAACTTTGTTTTAAAATCTAGTATGTTTGTATCTGTATGCAGGTGATTCCAATTCAATATGCTGATGCCTTTAAGAACCTATTGCCTAAATAAAGACATTATGGACCTTTTATCTGACTTGCTCTAAATGAGAGGGGCCTTTTTATTTGCTTATTATTGCAGTCATTGTGAAAAAAAAACTCCCTCTCTTTCTGTTTTATTCTCTGACTAATTCTGGTCCAGTTTAGATAAAACATAAACAGATGTTTTTAGTCTTGTGTGAAGCAGGCACACCCTGGTAAAAAAACAAACAAACAAACAAACAAACAAAAACCCTAGTTACTGGGTTCTAATTGTCAATGTCAAAACCAAAAATAATCCACTAACAGTTCCTTTCCTGAAATACAAGCAGGTGTGTTTACTTGCAGAAATGTAACTTGGAATATTTATTTTCCATGTTTTAAAAGACTGCAAGGAATATTAACATTCATATTCTTGGATGGTACATGCTTTTTGACTATACTGGAAAACGTATTAGATATTGTTTCTTTTTATAGATGTTACAAGCTTAAATGTGGCATATATTTCTCCAATATGTATGGCAATATAGTGATACATCTGCAGTTGTAGAACTTTGCACTTATCTAAACATCAGTGGTTTAAATGCTAACATCACACTGTATTCATCAATTTCTAAAGGCATAAGATTTTGTGTTCTGGGTAAAATAGAAAAATGATAGTTATTCTGTTTTGCCACCTTTAGGAGCAGAAAACACCCTGACTAAACAGGTTTGTTATTTTGCATCAGATGTAAACAGACATGGTGACTGGAGAGAGGCAGGTCCAGAGGCAGCCAATCAGAAGACAGCACTGCTGCTCAGCAGAGTGCAGCTCAGTTTTAAAAAAATCCTATACAGCTGTGACCAGCATCTGCCTGTCAGCCAGTGGTGTCTCCATCTGCCGTAACAAAGTGGCCTATTTCCTCAAGTTTCAAGATGTCGGAAGGAGTGGCTCAGGTAAGATCTTTACATTGCAGATCAGCTGCTTCTCTTGTTTATTTTTTTTTAACTAAAGAGTCTTAAGTTAAGAATGTTTTGCTTACCGTGGCTCTTAACATTCATGGGGACTACTTTTTTCACCACATAGCCCTTTCCAGTGGCTGCTGCAGAGGCCACAATGAGAAGGAAGATGCTTGCCACTCGTAGGTCCATCTTGCAATCCCAAACCTGCAGGGAACAGAAGAAGATTGTCAATGTAAGCATAACACAGTTACAGCTTTTATTAAACTTTTGTTAGCATTTAAAGAGAATGTCCTTGCTTATTCTATTCAAGCTGCATATCCGCACTAAAACTCAGTAAAATACGCATAAGACGTCATGCATCATCTTCTTTGTATTGTCAATGAAGCATCCCAAAGTCAAACTAATTTCTCCAATTAACCAAGGCCTAACAAAATCTTAGAACTCCTACATGTTCCTCCAGAGAAAGAAACACAAAGAGAGGGAAACAAAAATCACACCTACCGGCATCCAATAGAAGAAGAAACCCAACTTTCTTCTGCACCAGAGAGCTCCTGGTGCTGCTGTATATCCTTAAGGGCAGAGCACAACTGAGGATATGCTGCCCTCCAGTACAATGATGCTGGGTATTTATACCATATCTGCCCCTCACATCATTAAAAAAAACTCACCAAAAAAGCACCTCCCTCCTTAGAGCTAGGCTGTAATTAGCAGAGAGATCTTCCCAAAGCGGGCATGTCACGTCAGGGTGCCTCCATGTCTTGAATATCCAGACACATGATTATCACATTTTCTTCTATCTTCCTTCAAAGATAGAAATGATCATTCTTGTAATTAAAACTAGATAAATTAAAATTGTATTAAGTTTTGAGTCTATTAAGTTTTGATTGCTGTTGGACTATAGATCTTTATTAGTATAATTTTTTTATACTCAATTTGTTGAGATTGTCAATTTGATGACTTAGAGAGTAACCAAAGTTATTCTAAAGATTATTCTGGGCCTTACTGTTATAACAGATTAGTTATAAGGGTAGGGTTATATTACTTATTATTTTTTAAGTGTCTTTAGTTAGTGATTTCATTTTTCAGTGCATTGTCTGTTATCACAAATCTTTTTGGTTACTATATACATTTGTATATATAGTAATATGTAATATGATATAACACACCATAGGCATGATACAGAGATATTACATGTAAAAAGTGTGTTTCCTTCAAAATCAATCATTTTGTATATTCTCAACAACAACAAAAAATTGTATTGCATGATAATATATGCAGTAATTCATTGGAAATAGTTTCTATTGTTTGTTTTTATTTGTGATTCAGACAAGATTTTCTTTAAAAACAGGGCAAAGGACTTGGATTGAAAGAAAGCTTTGCTCTGAGGATTTGAAAAGAATTATTTAAAGTTCACACAATATAATTCTTGGGTGTTTTGGTAGGGAGAAAAGTCTTTTGGACCCTTTGGATGAGTCAAAAATATTTTATAACTTACATAAAACTATATTTAAAGGGAGTTATCAGGGTTTTTTTTTTTATTTCCGTCCTGACCCCTATTTGGTCAGAGCGGTATAGGTGGGATAAAATGTTATAAAGTAGATTCTTATTTCAGCATTTGCTAATTTTTCTATCTTAACAAATGTCTTTCTCTCAATACAGCTCACAAAGTAAAAAGATCACTTTGTAGAACATTAGTACATGCAGTACGTTGGGTTAACCACCAGGGGGCATGTTTTCACTTGTGTACAGCAGATTTTCACAGCCATTTACTTGTGGTCAAACATTATTTTTGGTCCCCTAAGTGCACATGCATTACCCAGAGCTGCAGGCGCATTGGTTCCATTAAATCTGGTTCCTGTCGTGATGCTATGTTGTATTTCTTCAGTCAGCCCTTGAGTTATCCTCCCTCGCCCTCTACCTTGCTTACTTTGAGATCTTCCAACTGTAATTTCTCTGCTTCAGGCCCAGCCACATAGGAAATGCATACACCCAAATAATCACATGTTCTCTAACACATGAGTAGCCATAAACGATGTGTAGGGTAGTCCCATGCCCTGTTCCCAAATCTCCCTGACCATTGCCCATCCATTTATAGCACGTGTTCATCTTGTGTTCTTATAATGTGCGCACATCATACTGGCAACATGTGTATATTTGACAAAATGATGATGAGCTGTGAGATTAAGGCCTTTGCTGGGTTTCTATATGAGGGTGCTACAGCACACGTGCCTGTGAAAGCCTTCTTTCATCACAAGTTTAATTAAAGATCCTCCCAATAGGGCTCGTTTGAATCCCCCTCTCTCTGTTTTTGTGTAAATTAGATCCAAATTATCTGCAATTTTCCAAAGTGCTACCTTCTCTAGCTCTAAGCACTTAATCATGTTTGGCAAGTATTGTTTAAGTTCACTCAACCTGTCAAATAAAAAATAATGTCATTTGCAATCTTCTTCTGCAAATGTTCATAGCCAGGAGAGACAGTGTGCAAGAAAAGTGCAGACTGAGTTCAAACCTGATGACAGAAATACAGCTGACACCAGATGTTCACAAACATCGTTTAAAAAGACACCCAACCTTTATCATGTTTATTACTGTCTGACATAGTTTAGATTAAACTTTTCCTAATCAAAGTCAATAGTTTTCATATTACTTCCATTTTCCCACTGCTACAGAAATGATAGGAAAAAACAGGCCGGGAGCTTTTATATTGCATGCAAGCAAATGTAAATATATTTCATGTTAAATGGAGTACCTTTGGGGAGAGATTGGGTACACTCTTGATAAGTGGGTAGCTGGTCCAGGTTAGCAAAGTGACACAAAGGACTCACTACTGTGAGTAAGGAGAATTAGGTGAAAGTATGAGCGATGTTATAAGATATTAGTTAGAAAGTTTGAATGAGTAGAGGTTTGCTCCCTTAAGCATACAGTTAAATTGATAAAATTTCTTTTTTTTTTTCTTGAATGGTCATTACAAGGCTGATTTCAGGTCCCTTATAATGTCTGTGCAAGCATACTAGCCAACAAACCTGACACAGGTATACCAGCTCTGTGGGGAAGAATGGGCCAAAAGGTCAGGAAAATACTACCAAATATTCAATTCTGTTCAGTTTATCTATATAACATCAATTCGCAACCTATGTCATCTCTAGCCACTTTACAGAGAATACTCAACTAGGTCATACAGTCTGATTGGTTCAAAGGAAACAAAGGAATTACTGATGAAAAGCATGTAAATGTCTCAACATGAATAAATGTACATGCAGAACAAGAGAACTCTCTGTGATAATTCTTGATTTAGCCAATAGAAATGAAAATTTCTATGAACCTTGCTTGAGTTACTGTGTAGAAATAGATTTAGATTTATTTGTTGGAGTGGTTTGTTTCAATTTATGTTCAGTTTGGGAATTGGTGTTTGGTTTAGTTTGATGTTACACGGTCTCTTTTGTGTGCATTTAGTTGATTCAGCTATTGTTGTGTGTCATTTAATTTAATTTCATTTCATAATTTAACGGTATAGAGAGCTAGTTCAATGTGATCCCAGTTAGTTTGTCTTTCCCTACACTGTATGTAAATATCTGGTACATCTCAATGCTCCATTTGACACTCAAGCTGATGCAGCATTATTTTTTCATATTCTCTGGCGAATTTAGATGTTTTTAATGCTTGGTCCTGCTTTATTAACTGTGCAAACTGGCTGTTTATCCAGTAGCCTTTACTATTTTAGATAAATTGCCTGTTAATGCCACTCTGGGGCCAGCAGAGAGTTTTGATATTTTGCCATCATGCTGTATTACTTTAAAACCTCTCAGTGCTTGTGTATTTTAGGCAGAGGCCCCACCTTTCCAACTTTAGTCCAGTTCAGAGGAAATGGCAGGGAGAGAGAGGGTGGGGTTAAGATTTTATGTGTTTATTGGTTCAGATAAGTTGAGTCTATTTCTGTTTCTTAAACATCTCTGAACCACTGCAAACGATGCTTTCAGCCTTTTGTACCATGCTCTAAAGGCAATGCTTCATATCTTTATAATCAGGGGAAAAAACTCTGAATCATGTTAATCTGAAAACAAATTCACTCTGGATTCAAACTAAATGAAGCTTGCGTGTATCTCTTTACATGCCTCTGTATTTAAAAATTAAAAGAACTATTTAATTGTGCTGACCTGAAATCCTTGAAAGAGCATTGAATATCTTTATCTGCTATCATCATGGCATCCTTATAGCAGCACCATGTGTGTTTCTGCCTTCTTTGCAATAGTTATTGGGAATTAGCCTCAAAAACTTGGCATGGTGACGTTACTTTGCCCATATGTTATCATTAGTGCCTCCCTGTAAAACACGAACACACTTGCTTTCGGTTTCACGCCGTTGAGTTGACACATGACATAAAAGGATTTTACTGAATTTAGTAAAGTAAGTTAACAGCCAATTAAGAACACACCCAAAGTCAATGAGTGCAACCAAATGCTTGGGAGCCTCCTGTTTTTGAACAGACTTTCACATGTTGGTTATGTAACAATCCTCATTAGTGAGATGCACACTGCCTTGCAAAACTATGCACAGTCTTCGCACTATAAAGTTACAATCACAAACTACAAGCTATTTATTGGCTGCTATGTGATAGACTAACTAAAAGATGTACTTTAACTGTATAGAGGAAAGAAAATGATACATTGTTTTCAAGATTTCTAGAAATAAAATCTCAAAATTGTTGCATGCATGTAAAAGCATCATCCTTCACACTGATACCTCTGAATAACACCAATTGGTTGCACCTGCTGCCTAATTTAAAAAAAGATTAAACCTGTTTCTATGATCAGGGTTTTGTTAGGTTGTTAGTGAACAAACCCCACAAGAACTTAATGAAACACAGGCGACAGTTCTGGAATACATTTGTGGAACATTTTGTGTTAACAAGATTAGGTTATAATCTTAATCATTTAACATTTCATTGACTATTATTCAACCCATCAAAAACTAGAATGTCCACCTAAACCGAGAGAGACTGGACATGTCAGGCCTTTATGGAACCGTGACAAGAAGAAACTCATCGAACCAAAACTAGTAATTTTCCATTAGTGAGATGAGGGGAAAAAACAAACAAACATGAAGAATTTAATTATCTAATAGTTGTGACTAAATTAAACAATTTCTTTCTGTTTTCTTCCACCTATTTTAGATCAGATCTTGCGTCTAAGTAGCCTACTGGTGTAGGAGGGAAACTCAGACATCCCACGGCTTTCCCCGGTCAGAGTGGTTCTATACTCCTTCCAGTGAGTTTTAGGTCTTCCTTCTCTTTTTGGTGAAATGTGGACAAACCCTCTAAACTAAGGTGAAGAAGTAGTGGCTCTACTTAGAGATAACTCCTCACTCAATCTCATGTTATTTGGGTATCTGTCATTGGAAGCTTGTTTGAGCTGATTGTATCTACGATCTTATTGTTTTAGTCATGATGCTTATCTCACAACCAAAGAATAAGGTGGAGACATAGTAATAGACTAATAAATTCAGAGATTCTCCTTTTGGTTCAGCACCATCTTTATCACAATAGAATGAAGCAGCGCTCATCCATCTGTCCTTCTACCATTTCACCCCACAATTACTCCTGAAGAAGACACCTATGTACTTAAAGTCTTCCGTTTG